CCCCTCAGGCAGTAAATGAGAATGAATCATTCCCCATTATCGGGGAAGATTCATTCTCGTTTCGAACAAAATAAACCCCCCTCCGCGCGCGCGCACACGTGTGTGTGTGTGTGTGTGTGAGAGAGAGAGAGAGAGCCTCACTCGGAAGGTGCAAAACGAGAGTGCATCTTCCGCTCGAACATGGAAAGAGACAGCTCCATGATTTGTCTAGAGCATATATCGAGGCGCCCGCAGTCTCGGCGGGTTGCGCGGAACACCCCGCACAGGCCGCCGAGATAGGCTCGCTGTAATACCAGTAGGTCTCTCTGTTTCGTCCTTTGTGCCCTTGAGTTGTAGGTCGGTTTTGTCCTCCCCTTTTGCCAATTTTAGGTCTAGATTCGGTCCTAGGCTATAAGCTGTCGTTCACCAGTGCTGTTGGCAATAGGAAGGGTCGCCATTGAAACCCTTCTTTCAATGTTTGTCGAAGTGGCAGCCATCTCCTTCTTCATCAAGTGCTTTGTCGAAGTGGCAGCCATCTCCTTCTTCATCAAGCACTGGTGCTCTTCTTCTTCGTCTGGGAGCTACCCTGCCCTGTTGAGCGGACACTTCATCTGCAGTGGGCATCGAGTTTGGACTGCTGAGTGGCGTGTCGGGATCAGGAGAGTTGCTGGTGCTTGATGGGTTTGATAGGTTGGGCGCAGGCTTGCGCCATAGCTGTGAGCTTGAGGCTGGGAGGAAGAAGAAGTCTCCCTTACTTGTTGAAACTCTCTTCTTAGTTGGTTCGTGGATGTTAATGACGTGGTTGGGATTCTTGGAAATAACAGTGCATTGATTGGCTGGAGGGAGCGGGATATTAATGAGAATTGAGTAATTTCAATTCTATTTTTTGGTTCAAGTGCTTCCACGGCGTATTCTATCATCCGGTGTGGTGTGAATTGCTCTCTCCAAGATCTCTTGTCATTGCGCATGTCTATGGGAACATGTGGATGCCATGCTGTATCTCGTTTCAATCAGGCACATAACAGCAGAAAGGTCAAAAGGCCGCGGGAGGGGGTCAAAGGCTGACTCTGAGGCCCTGATCCCACTAGACAGCTGAATCAGCCACCAGATTTTAGAAGGCAGAGCCACCAACACCATTGCATCCTCTGAGCAGTGTAATCCCTAGATTCAGCCCCCATCCATGAGGAGGCATGCTTCCCAGCTTTACTGCTGCATGCACCTATATCCACACCTTCATCCACGAGGCCTCATCTTCAGTTCACAGAGCCCTCCAGGATACGAAGATGGGGCCTTGCCCAAGCACAGACTCATTCATGCTTTCACTGGCTAGCTTAGTTCATTTTCCCCTGCCTTCTGGAGACAAAAGTCGAGACACACGACAGTCCTAGCAAGTAACCAACCCCCCCCCCCTAGGAGGCGGGGGGAAAAAAAAAAAAAAAAAAAAGACACACGGATAGTTTGTACAGCTTGGAAAGAGAGATGGCCATAGCTGGCCATGGAAGAGCAGCATGCCTTGGGATGAATAGGGAGCCATAGCCGTACAAAAAGCACATTGCTTAGCCCGACCAGCAGCTAAACTTCTGCCTACTTTTTCTGCAACATTCTGATGGGAGCCATCCATGCCGCGAGCTGGACCGCTCTTCCATTCTTCACAGCCCTCAGCCACTCTCCAGTGTGCCAGCCAAGGTCAGCTACCTTCGCGGGGCGGATCGGAACAGAACACAACAGATAGCTCATCAAGCCATAGTGCAAACCAGCTCAGGCCCGGAGGGCGATCATGAAAAGGAAGTGGCTGTTGGTATCCAGTTTCAACTTCTGATAAACACAACAGATAATAAGAAAAATGGTTCCTACAATGACATGAAAGCCATGGAATCCAGTAGCTAAAAAGAATGTAGAGCCATGTATCCCATCAGAAATGGTAAAAGGAGCTTCTACATATTCCATTCCTTGAAATGCAGCAAAAACTAAAGTGAACACTAGTCAACAGCTATTCGCCTTTCCAGGAGATGAAAAGTCAGGAAAAAAAACATTTGTATGTCAAAAGCTCGTTGCGAGAACGATGTATATCTGCCAAACATGGACATTCGGAATTAAACCTTCCATATATCTAGCCACTGAACGAGGGTGCAGAAACTGATCAAGAAACCCATGTAATTTGTTCCCACTTGGCAGCCTTGCAAAAGTGTGAAAAAACCCACCTTCTGCCGACTGCCCTTTCGATACCAACTCCAGGAAGCAGTGCACAAAAACAGGGTAGAGAATGCGCAAGAGCTCATTCTTTCATTATCACATCGCCACGCATCACAGAGCAAAACGACAGGGCACATAAAATTGTTCCCGTCAACACCCAGTTGGTCAGGCTTTCGGTCAATCTGTCAGACAGTCAGATGACAATCATTGCTGTGAAAGGATGGACAATACGTATCATTCAAACAAATCTGCACAATAAAACGTAACCCTCCTTTCATTTTGCGGTCATCACAGAACAAAACGACAGGGCACATAAAATTGTTCCTATCAACACGACTCGGTCAGTCTATTGGTCATTCTGTCACACAGTCAGACGACAATCATAGCTGCGAAAGAATGGGAAAATAATAGACATATATGGGGCCTCGCTCGACCACTTGCCACATGCACAAAAGACAAAAATTATCACAGTGTATCTTTCCATGTTCTAGAGGAAGATCCATTCGGCACTGTATTCATTTTGCAAGTGGTGGTACATCGCTTTCATACGTTCAAGGTGCCCTGCCCTAACGATAGCAGACCTCGCGACAAGCACATTTTTTTTGGGGGGGGCTGCAGTTGAGAGCCGCCCCAAATGCTGTTTACCCGCACGCCCCCCGTCCCCCTTTCTTTTTTCAACCCCTATTTTTTGGAGGTGCACTGCATCAAGTGCACGCAAATGCGCTGTGCGGCGCACACGCAGATGATGCGCCGCAACTATGTAGTATATCCTTCAAAACAAATCTGCACAAAACCACAGAGCCCTGCACACAAAACTGCCTCCAAGGAACTGCGCTACTGCAAAAGATGGAACAGTTGGCAATGACATATAGACGCATAAGACAACTACTAAGGCCATGTCAGCATCCCATCTTGTTTTTTTCCCATTTTTCTCTGACAAAACATTATCTGGAAGCAGTCAATCTGCAAGCTGATATGCGCAACTCTCAGATTGAGGTCTTCCTGGTTTTCGATGGCTCCTTTTACTCCCACTGGGAACCGGGGACCATGTCAGACATTCCATCAAAGTTCAACTAAATTTAGCATTGCATCCAAAAACTGACGTTTCTTTCAATTTGATTTTTCTTTTTCGTCAGCCCAAACTGAGACACAAACATTTTAACCATTTTTGGGACATTTTTCACCCTGTGAGAGAGGTGTCATATGAAAGAGCATGTTACGATGGAAGGGCATTCAGTTTCAATCATCCTCCAGTTAGCATATACTAATTCGGCCATAAAAACCGACCAGATACATACGATAGACTGCCCTGGAGCACACCATGCTGAGCATACAGCACCCACAGGACTCCCAATGCTCAACATGATATGCTCCACACGGAAATAGAAAATTTAGCCCAAATGTTTTTTTTTTTAAGTCTCACTTCCGTTGCACCAACCAAAAAAAAAATCAAATATAACGAAATGTCAGTTCAAAGTTTTACAAGTCGCAAATTTAGCAAGCACAACGCCACACTTGCGACAAACGTTCGCGCACCACAAATCAGTCCACAATCTCAAACACAGTTTAGCCCCAACATTTCACAGCGCAGAGGCTCACCAGCTAGCAGTGGTATGTTGATTGCACCATGCTGAATGGCAGCAGACCACCATCCACCCTGAAACCGATGACCGCATACACATGTATGTGGCCTACAGTAACACGTGTGTATGCGCTGGCAGTCAGCTGTCTTGCTGATCCCATTAGTTGCCTTGCTGATCCCATTACCGTCTTCACCCGAATAGAACGCCCGGTCATTATAGCCGTATTTGGTGCAATTTTTCAGTCCAGATACAGCTATAATGACAAAGCGTTCTATTCGGGTGAAGACGGTAGTTGTCTTGCTGATCCCATTAGTTGTCTTACTGATCCTCGAGTTGTGTGAGGTGACAGTCAGCGATGGCATCAGCAAGGGCAACTGACTGCCACCGTATCCACAGGTCACAGTAGGCAAGCTGCATGGAGTCAAACGACATGCCAGCCTGGACCTGGTAACCACAACCTAGCTGGCAGTGGCATCCTAAGGATGGCAAGGAACCAAGGCCATGCTGCACATCACACCATGTTCCTAATCATCATCATACAATCATCACCATCACCATCACCATCATACAATCATCACCATCATCATCATCATCATCATCTTTGCCATGGAAATGATCATCCTGATTATTATAATCATAAACTCAATTGCAGTGATTCCTGGTGGTGGTGGTCTGATCATGATGGCTATAGCAATGATAATGATGTGGCGATTGCTGGTGATGGTGGTCTGATCACGATGAATATAGCAATGGTGATGATGATGATGATGGTGGTGGTGGTCTGATGACGATGACTATAGTGATGATGGCGATGATGACAACGATGAAGGTGATGATGATGATGACGACAACGATGAAGATGATGATGATGATGATGACAACGATGATGATGATGATGATGAAGATGAAGGTGATGGTGACGACAGGAACAAACATTAGTCACAGAGATGAAAACAATGGGAAAGAATAAGACGACAACAAGAACGATGAGAAGTAATCACAATAACAGAAGCAGCAGAAATGCTGACAGTCTGACAAAGCTTGGTGATAAAAACGGCAATAGAAACACTGCCGCTAACATGGATGGTTGCTCGTGATAAAGACTACAATTATGCAGGCTTGATAATGACCAGCTGCCTTGGCTGGACAAACCGCAGCACTGGTGACCACAMCCCCCCCCCCCCCCCCCCCCCCAAAAAAAAAAAAAAAAAAGTGTGGCTCAGAGTCCGAGGTTGCAACGTGGGTGGAGTGAGAACACAGCTGAGGGACAGAAGGCGAGGCAGACCAGACAAAAAACAAGGAAGAAAGGAAGAAAAAGAGAGCCAAGAGGTGAAGGGCGTAGCACTTTGTACAGGTCGAGTGAGCTCTGAACCCAAGACCGCAGCCTGCCATAGTTTTCCTTGTATTTGCCAGGTCCGTTGTCTGATCTGCAGGCATCTCGAACACACACACACACACACACACACACACACACACACACAGAGTCAATCACCGGGCTTGACTACCATCTTCCCCCGAATGGAACTTACGGTCATTATAGTCGCATTTGGCTCACCTTTCTGTCCAGATGCAGCGAAAATGACCGTACGTTCTATTCGGGGGAAGAAGGTAGGTCAATAGAACGACCAGAACTCAGTGGGGGGTTTCCCTGAGATGGCACTGAGTAGTTACGTGCTTGAATAGAGATTATCTAGACCGCATTAGTCTCTCATGTTATATACTCTCTCGAATTAATATAGTCTCCCAGGTTATACTCTCTCTCAGAGTATATACTCTCTTAGATCTCTTTTTGGGGGAGAGGGGGGGGAGGGGAGGGAGGGGGGTGCGGAGACCATTTCTTGATTTATGCGTGTCATCCTTGCACAGGGGCCATGCTAATCTTCATTCTCTGTATCGTCCCAGTTTTAACGGATGTTCCGAAGGACTATACACTCTTCCAAATCATATACTCTCTCAGGTCATAAACTCTCTCACGTTATATACTCTCTCAGGTTATATACTCTCTCAGGTTATATACTCTCTCAGGTTACAATGAGTAGATGCAAGTGCACGGAAAATAAGCAACAGCGAGATGACAATTCCAGATCACACCATCACATCGAAAGCCAGATAGTCACACCATGTCCAGAGAGCAGCATTGCACCAATAATACACCAATGGAGGTTTGTAGCACTGAAAACCAATGTTCATGGAGAGCATACTCTCTCCTCTCAACACAAGAGTCCAGTTCCTTCACACTCTCACTTGGCGCTCAGCGCCCAGCCTACTCCTACACAGCTACTACAGACTACGAAATGACAATGCAACTGTTGACATCAGCGGCAGCCCGAAGTACTTGAAGATGTCGCCCATGCAGAACATCGCCAATACAACGTATGTGCCCTCACATCATCATCATCATCATCCTTCACCTATCCCCTGACTACACCCACGTCTGTCCTCTGTTTCACCCAAAGACCACCCCTGCGCCTCACTGTAGTCCAAGCCCACCAGCTATGGTGGCTGGGCTATGGCTCGGCCCTCAGCAGCGCCCTTCTTCCCTGCACGACCGCACGTGCTGCACCTCGCCTCTCAGCGCCAGCCAGCAGCCGCGAGCTCTTGCTCCAGCAGCGCTGCCGCCAGCATGCGAGTGCCTGAATGAGGCTGCCTGGAGTGAGCTCTTTCCTTTATGGAAAGAGCTGGCCTACTCACGCAGCCTGGCTGCACTGGCCTGGGCCCAGAAGCTTCCGGAAGGCCCCAGGAGGCTGCCTGTGTACAGCAGCTACTGGGCTGCTGGGCCTCGTTCGGTTGGG